TGCTCGCTTCGGATTTGGTCAATACCTCTTCAAATAAACAGACACCTTTATACCTGTTGGGACTCAACTTTGTTGGCTATAAACAGAGAGGCTCAGCCTTATTTTTCCAATATCGTGATTTGCTCCGTCAGTTGAGTTTGCCAAGTGCCGCTATCACAGAATAATTATCCCATTCTATCCTGGGAGGAATTAATCTGAAACCTTGGGCAACTGGGGATTAAATTTTTTAAAGACACACAAGAAATTTGTGGGCTTGAAATTTCTGTTTTTGTTTTCTGAAACTAACGTCTTCTGATTTTCTGATTTTGAATACAGAATTACAAATACATAGATTCAAGGTGGCTAGTCGAACAATTATTATTTTATTTTTATGTTATCATGCCAAATTTGCTACAAGAAAATACTATTGTATGTCGACATAATCTGATGCCTAATGGTATAAAAAATTTGTACATCATCAGTCCATAGAAGTTAAACACAAGTAAATTTATTCTCCAACATTAACAAGCTCAAAATCATCAAAATAGAAGAGAAAATCCTTTGCAGATAACAATTTGAAGTCAAAATGTAATATAGAAGTTTTACATGCTTGTTTGTTCATTCCACCTGAAATTAATTCTTGTGCAAATTCAACTAATCCAATTGTAGATTCACGGACGAAACTTGCAGGCTGTTTTGAACTGTTCGGCTTCTGCTTTATCTCCTTTAAACTCATTATCCACCCATGCTGAGTATCCTCCTTCCAAATTTCTTACATCCGTGTAGCCCTAAACTCAATAACATAGCACTACTATATTTTAAGGAATTTTTTTTAAACGGCAGGCTAAATTCTGATTGAGAAATTTAACTTCCTGCTATTAAAGGAGAAAGTGCTCACTAACCGCATTAAGAAGATCGACACATGCTCGACGTCCTCTCCCTCCGCTGTTGCACCCCTTCAAAACAAATCATGGCATTTTTTTCTAAGTGATTTACAGAAGACAGATCCAGAGTTTAAATTTGATAGGTTCAGTCGTTCAGCCATTAAGTTCTACCATTATAAAACTCATTGTAACTATGAAACTATAAGTTCAAAATTTAAAATTTGTTGAAACTTTAGTAATGTTTCCCGTATATATTTACACATCGTGTCAAAAATATTTGGTTAGTTGAATTCAGTTAACTAGGCATCTACCTCTAATAGGAGAGTTGCTCAAAAGAAGTGGTTATATTTGTATATTGCACGTGTAAGAAATATTTACACAATTTGATTATTTAAAAGGTAATTATAGGTAGCTCTAATTAAGAAAAATTATTGTTAATTTAGATTAAATGACAAGTAATGTGTAATTTTTTTAAAACACTATCAATGTATATAATTTAAATTCTTAAAAAGAAAGTTAAAAGATATATAAGTATATTTACCACAATCAGATGATCCTCCTTTTGGCACACTGAAGAGACCTGGACAAGAAAATCTGGGTTTTGTACTCTTCCTATCATCCACCAGAAAAATAATAATTAAATATTCTTACATAAATAGGGATTGAATGGAACTATATATATGAGGTGATGTAATATTTAAAATATTGGCCTTCCATTTTTCACCTTCTTCAGTGAGGAACATGTATGGAATATTTATCGCTTTATCAATATGTCCTCTGTTAAACTCTTCAACTGTCCTGTAAACCCCAACAGAGAGATAGAAAATAATGATGTAAAATTAAATTAAATTAGAAGACATTACAAAGCTTTGCTAAAATAATGCAAATTAGTTTAATTTTATTAGATTTCTGATAGTAAAGACTTTTCAATTCCTCACCTCACATCTAAGTAACGGTGACCTGAGGATAGCAGATCCTTGGCACTAATCACATCAACGTGCGAAACATCTTCATTGCTGCCAATCAAAGAAAAATTAAATAAATACTTAAATTAGAACACCACAAAGCCAAAAACAAAAAGAGAACACAGAGAAACGAAATTTGGAGTTGGACGAATTAAAAGTTAGATATATTAATGATTGAAATAGCAAAGAGGTGTAGATGTAATTAAGTTAGCATAAATAACACGAAAAGAATCCAAAATAACGAGACAAAGAAATATTAAGTAACGATTAACAAGAAACATTAGAATTTGGGTTACCTCTTTGTCGAATCCATTTTATGCTTATTACACTTGTAGGAGTTGAAGTATATCTCTTCAAATCTGATTTCGGGCAACTACTTTAGTTTTTTTGGTTTTATAGTAGCTCATTGTATGTTTGGGCGTTGACCTTCTTCTTATTGTTACGAGAATAATGACAAAAATAATTAATATGCTTATAGTTAATTGGTTGTAAGTGATACCCTTTTTTTATGTGGTATCCGAATTAACTTGTGCGCAACTCTAATTCTATGGGTACCTTATATCTTCTGCGTACCAACACAGGAAATGATTAACTCTGTCCACCAAGACTTAAACAAATGAAAAGAAATCACCCAAATTCGTTGACTTTGATTTGTTCACAAAGCAGATTATTGGAGTAACATTTTCTATTAGTAAGGAAAATAGCACTATATATATAATTTCAACATCTATCCAACGAAATAATCAATTACTTGTTCGAAAGGGATAGTAGTAGTATTTATTTAGGTGTTTGACAGGAAACGCATGTGATCTGCTAAGCAAGAGTGGATTACACGTCAATCTTAACAACTACACTAATAATTATTTTGCTTTAATAAGCTGAAATTCTTCGTCGAATTTATGAGATAAATTGTTAAGTTCAATCACTAATATGATGTGCTGATAATTTTATGTACATGTTCATGTATCTTAGAACTTCCAGTTGCGTAAATGGTTTTGTGAAACTGGTCTTTTGGTTTGGCAAATAGTGAAATTGTCGTTCGAGTAGAGAGAGAAACTCTACCTTCACTCTAGCCTACAACCAATCTTTATCTTCTCAATTCAAAACACTGAAATGACTCCAAACATCAATCTCCATATCCCCCTAAACCACCAGACAAGGATACTACCATCCAAAAAGAAGAAATCCAAAGTTTTAAAGACAAACTTATCGAAGGAGTACAATATTCCCTAAAAATTGCTGAGATCTCTACACATATTGATATTACTACAAAGGTTCAAGAAACAAATGCTGTACAAAATCACCCAATGTTGGTGGATGACAAGAGAATTCATCTCACAAAGGAAGACCAAGAACGTATATATCAACCTTGGAGATATTCTCTCATTATCAAACTAATTGGTAAGAAAATCTAACATCATATCCTCAAAAAGAAAATTCAGGAAGCTTGGAAAATTATGGATAATTTCCCCCTTATTGATTTGGGAGCAGACTACTACATAGCTAAATTCAAATGTGAAGAACACATGACTAAAGTCTTAAACGCTGGGCCATGGTTCATATTTGGCCATTTCCTCTCCATTTAGAGATGGAAGCCAAACTTTGTGACAACAGAAGTAAAGAGCTCCCTCACAGCCATTTGGATCCATCTACCTCAATTACCAACTGAGTTTTAAGATGGTATTATATTGGCAAAAATTGGAAATGCCATTGGTAAATTACTAAAAGTAGATGCGTGCAATTCTTCAACTCTAAGGGGATGCTACGCCAGACTATGCATTGAGCTACCACTTGAAGTTCCGGTAGTCCCACTCATCAACATTGGCCACCATAAGCAAATCATCCAATACGAAGGTGAAAATACTCTATGCAAGCAATGTGGAAGACTGGGTCATGTGGCAATGAAGTGCCTCTATGTAAAAACATCACTGCAACTAAACTACACTCCGGATAATAATAATCCTATCCCTAAAGAAGTGAGCAATGACAATGAAGTAAATGGCATAGCATGGCAAACGGTTAAGTTCCCAAAGAAGAAAAGAACCAATGAGAGGAGTTCTGGAACCATTCAAAATCCAGGTATTCAATCAAAACGATCTCATCCAATACCAGGTAAGTATTCTTCTCCAACCCCTAATACTATGTATATCCCTTCTAACACTCAACCTACGAGTAACAGGAAAACTTCGAACAATCATTCCTCATCTCCTCCGGGGAATTTCATAAAATGCAGTAACAAATTCTTCACATTGGAGAATCCGCCCACAGAAATAAAAATAAAAGAAAACTATTTACTAAATTCTGAAAATATTTCTAAATTAAGCATTGATAACGTGGCTTTACCAAATACTCCCAATCACAACGTGTCTGACATGGAGGTCAGTAATTTACCCAACATGCAGGTCCTAATTACGCCCTCTAATCAAATTATCGAAGATAACAAAGCTACAAAAAATGACATTATCCTTAAAACAAAAGATTCTCTCTCCGATAACCTTCCACTAAACCTTCCTATTAAAATTTATAATTCCTCTAACATCTGCATGGATGAAGATCAGGCCCCACAACACATGTCCCACATGCCCCCACCTTCTAGTCATTTGGCCAATATCAAACACCACGTGTCTAACCCTACCGCTACACCAAATCAACTTAAAATCTCTTCTCCTGCGTGCAAAGAAAACATGCAAATAAACCAAATTATTAACACCCTAGATAATCCTTCTACTGAAATCCCTATAACTTTCAGTAACCAACCTGTCCCAACAAATATAAATCAGCCCCTAAGTAGTCACTATGCCAAGAATTCCTATATCACAAAGAAGGAGATTCAGGCTTGTTCAAATCCTAAGGCACCAAAGAGCTCATACAATGGCCAATCCACCCCCAAATTTTAACAACCAACAGGGAAACCAAACAGTCTTATTCATACAACCACCCCTCCCTCAAGATCACCAACCTCTATCATGGATAGAACCAGAGGCGGACCCAGAATTTAGGGGTTACAGGTGCCAACCTAATCGATTTGATCAACTCGAGCGTCGGTTCGGGTTATACATCCTTTTTATTTATATAGACAAATAGATCAAACAAAAGAAAATATAATAACTATAACTAATTGACGCAAAGCATAAAACTTCCAACAATATTTTTAATACCATACACAATCTATTTACAATTGTCCTCTACGAGCTTTCATATTTTGAAAACGATCAATAATGACATCATTACTTATATTTGTAAATACATCACGCTCTATGTAACAAACTAAACAATCATTTAAATATTGATCACCCATGTTGTTCCGCTCTTCATTCTTTATCCGCTTCATGGATGAGAATGCTCTCTCCATAGTTGCGGTAGCAACATGTAAAATCAGAGTTAACTTCACAAGTAGATAAACATACGAATAAGTCTCCACAAGATTTGTCTCAACCAATGCTTTTGCCAAATCACTAATTCCTTGCAAGTTGGAGAACTTGAGATTGCCAGCTCGCATATGAATTATGAAAGTATCTAGTTGATAACTCAAGTCTCGAATCTGTACTTCATCAAACTCATTTGGGTAACATTTTGCTAAAGTCATTATTCTACTTTTATCAAAATTAGCAAAAGAATTGACTGGATTAAAGCTAGCCATCCCAAGAAGCAATTCGCTACTCACTACACCAAAATGGTCATTAAGCTCTTGAAGTTGCACATCAATTATAGAAGATATCAACACTCAAGTGGTGTGAATAACAAATACCAGAAGACTTGCGCTTCGACTTTCCAGGAAAATAGGATTCATCCATCTTGGGAATTATAATATCACGCATATGACAAAATGAGGAAACGTCATCTAGCAAAGATTTCCATCCAGTTTCTCTCATATCTTGCAATATTTTCTTTGTAATCTTAAGAAACTCCACGGCATCAACAATATCTTGATCTCTCTTTTGTAGGATCTTGTTCAACTCATTTGACATTGCCAAAACTTTCAACATCAAGTGAAGCATAAAAACAAATTTAAATGTTATTATCTCACTCAAAAGATATTTTGCTTGATTTCTCTCATTTGAGGTAGAACCTTCATGTTCAATCACTTCAAGCACACGAATAATAGATGAGAAAATAACAATAAAGTTATCTAATATTTTGAAATGTGATCCCCAACGAGTATCACCTGGTCTTTGAAGCCCGCGTTCTTGATTTAGTCCTCGCCCGGTATGAATTTCACCAGACTCAAGTAATTGCTCCAGTTTTTCAGCTTGAAGATGGCGAAGCAAATTTCTACGCTTAAAAGATACTCCAATGACATTCAACATATTAGTAACATGACAGAAGAAGTCTTCGACATCCAAATGCTTTTTAGACATAGCTACAAGTGTTAATTGCAATTGATGAGCAAAGCAATGAATTTAATATGCCGATGAGCTGTCTTTCATAATCAAAGTCTTAAGACCACTTATCTCTCACCTCATGTTACTAGCTCCATCATAACCTTGTCCACGTATTTGGGATGGACTTAGTGAGTGGTCCGAAAGCAAAGAGTAGATTTCTTCCTTCAATGAGCATGCCGATGTATCACTAACATGAACAAGACCAACAAATCGCTCTACCACTTCACCATTCTTATCAACATAACACAAAACAAGAGCCATTTGTTCTTTGTGTGAGATATCTTTGGACTCATCAACTAATATACCAAAGTAATCTCCATTCAAGTCTACAATTATAGCCTTTAATGTTTCTTTTGCACAAGCATTGATAATATCCTTTTGGATTATAGGGCAAGTCAAAGTATCATTTTGTGGAGCATTTTCTAATATTACTTTTCCCACATCCGGATGCTTGTCCCCATGCCATTGTAAGAATCCTAGAAAGAGGCCTTGATTTGTTGAAGATTCACTTTCGTCATGGCCCCTAAAAGGCAATCCATACAATAATAGAAGTCTTGCCACATCAATTGATGCTTCTAAACGCATTCGATACTCACTTTTTAACATCTCGGAGTGCTTATAAAAAACAACTTGAATTGATTGATGATGATTTGATAAATCTAGCATCTTCTTGAAACATTTATCATGGACACTATTAACATCACCAACGTGTAAACTCAATCTTTCAAGACCCTTATTCCAAGCCCTAAAACCATTTTTTGTATAAAATTCACCCGCACTTCCATGAATAAATTCATTTTTGAACAAATAACAACATAAGCAAAATGCTGCATCATTCTTCACACTATACTCCAACCATTTAGAAAATTGACCATTGAACCAACTTGGAACAAATTAACGCATTCTTCCTCCTATTAGAGTTTTGGGAAATTGATGCTTGGAAGGTTGACAAGGACCCTGTTGAATGTAATATTTCCTTACTTCATCTCGTATTCTGGGGTTATAGTCAGAAATAGGTAATCTTTCTCCTGGATCGCCTTTAAGTGACCCCAAATTGAGTTCATTTATAAGATAAGAAAGATTGGCATTCGCTTGGATCAAGGATTGACAACTAGGACTTGGTTGAGAATGGTCCAACCTCGTGACAAATTTATCCATCTCACTTCAGTTCCTATAAAATAGAAGTTCATTCCAGTGAGAAATATAGACCAATTTCTAGTAGGTCATACCATCAATAAGTTTTGTTATTTTAAATAACTCAACCTTCCCTAATATTTTTGTCGTCGTTAAAATAGAGTTAATTTTGAATTTTCCTTGATCAAAATTATTTGGGATGTTCTTTCCACGATACTAAATTCTACAGTGAAACCATATAAGAGGCATTTGATTTTCAAACACACCCAAAGAAATACATAACAAAAAAATCAAAATAGTGACAATAAAGTTTAGCAAGAACACTAAAATCCAACTAAATACAAAACAAAAACATGAGCAAGAACATATATTTCATGGGAAAAAAATATCCACATAGGGTTAAGAAATAAACATGAGGAGGTGAGGAAACTTTACAATGGTGGACGTAGAGCAATAAAGGTGTGAAGCATCTGAGAGATAAATCAAAATAAATGCTAAAGTCTAACAGAGAAGCAAGAAGTATAAACAGTGGCATGAAGGTGAAGCAGCGAGAATTGGAGAAATGGAAAAGGGAAAGTGGCGTAAGGGATTTGGGGAGTTGGGGCTTTGTTTTACCTATTGAAAATTGGGATTTGAGAAAGATCCTCAAAAAGGATTTTAACTTTCTATATTAATTATAAGAGAATACTTTTATTATTATTTTATCTTATTTGTTTATACTTAACTAAACAAACAGAAAAGTCAAACATTTAATATAAAATATAGAAGAGTGTGCTGTGTAGTGTATTTAATCTCCTTAAATTGCAATTGAATGTAAGCCAAAAAATTATTTGCTCCCACCAGGATTCAAACTCTTGCCCTGCTGAACAAAAAGGCAGACCTTTGCCATTGGCACCTTTGCCACTTTTGTTTTATGGGGTGGCACTTTAATGATATATATCCTATTTGTTATACATATTTACATATATACATAAAGTTTTCGCCGAAACTTGCGGGTGGCGTACCACCCCGAACCATGTACATAGATCCGCCCCTGGATAGAACAAGCACTGATGGGCCATGCAGTAACTTTCAACATGATGCTAGATGGCAAGGAAACAGTAATCATCGTCCAAAACTCTCACTTCCTAGCCCAACTTGTCTCTGAGGGAATGCACATGGCCATGAGCAACTACCACAACCATGTTTGGCTAAACAATATACTTCAACCGTTAGCTTCCAACTTTAATGCACACCAAGCCCAAGCCATGAGGAACCAATGGAACCTTCCTCACTACTTCAATCCCCTCCAACCACAGAATATGTCACTGGATCTCCCTTTCTTTCCCCTAGGGGAGATCCAGAACTTAAACCCAATATTCATGCCATGGGCAGCAACCCCCCACTTTCAATAAAATCAAGCTCAAACAGTCCCCCCAGTAAGCAACCCACCTCCACAACCAGCAAATCCCAATGTGCAAGAACACGAAGAGCCACCAGTAGAGAATGTACAAGAAATGAACTTACTAGGGTCGGAAGAGATAATAGAATTCTCAAGTCTAAACGATGTAAAGGTCTATCTCTTCAGGGAGATGCAAGAGAAGAGATATGTGCTCAGTTGCCCCCCAGCATTGTACAAGTTCTCAATGGACATCAGACCTCCATAATATCCAATAGTGGAGAGCCATGTAATGATACTGGTTCCATCCATGAGAAGGAACCCAGTGCTCCATGCAAGAATGGAGAATAGCTCAACCAACAATCATGTTTCAATGATGTATATGCCTACTAATATAATTATTTGGAATATTCATGGTGGTAATAATGACAACTTCCGTATCAACTTCAGGGAGATGGTTGATACTTACAAACCCTACATGGTAACTTTGTTAGAAACTTGTATGAAAAATCATATCACCCTTCTAAATGATTTTCCCTTTACTAATATGGTCGAAGTCCCAACAGAGGGTCAAGTTGGGGGTATGGTTATCATGTGGGATGCCAGCATAGTAAGAGTGCATGATTTGTTAGGAGGAACCAAGAGATCCACGCCAATGTTGAGGTAACTCCGTTAATACCATTTGGTTATTTTCCTCAGTATATGTGAGTACTAGATTAGGAAAAAGATGTACCCTGTGGAATAATATTGAAAACGTTCATATAAATAACTCCAAGCCTTGGCTCCTAGGGGGAGATTTTAATGACATTTTTAGTGCTAATGATAAGTTTGGTGGAAATCCAATAAACCGTAGGAGAAGTAACAATCTTTGGAATAGTATCAACAAATACAACCTAGTAGACCTAGGGTATAAAAGATGCAAATATACTTGGACTAATAATAGGAAAAAATTTAGAGGCCTAATTATGGAAAAATTAGATAGGATTTTTGTAAATAATGACTGGCTATCCCTTTTCCCAAAGGCTATGGTCACACATCTGCCCAGAACCCACTCCGACCATAGCCCGTTATTAGTCCAATTAAGTCCAAAAAATATAAATTTCTCAAATAAACCTTTTAGACTTGAAACTATCTGGTGTAGACATCCGGATTTCGTTAACATAGTTAAAAAATGTTGGTCAAACAATTGCTTAACTGAAGCTCAATCTATTTTCAAAAACACAGTAGTGAACTGGAAGAATGAAACATTTGGTGACATTTTTAAAAAGAAAAAAATTTTTCTAGCCGGGCTAAATAGAATTCAAACCTCCGCATCTTACCAAGAAGTTTCTTTTTGCAAGATTTAAGAATTTAAACTCCAACTAGAATACAACAATATTCTGAAAATAGAGCAAAACTTTTGGAAATTACGCTCCAGGATCTCTTGGTTGAACGATGGGGATGCAAATACTAGGTTCTACCATGTAATGGCCTCAAATCGTAAGCGCCGTAATGCCATTATGTATTTTACCAACAATAATGGTGATTGGATTACTGATCCTACATCTATATTAAACCATACTCTTGATTTCTTTACAAATGCTTTTACAATATCAAAAACCTCCTCTCACAGAAAGGCCATCCTAGAGGATCCTACGTGCCACAATAAAATTGATTTATCTAGTCTTGACATGGCCTTGACAAATGAGGAAATTACTAAAGCTGTTTTTTCTTTCAAACCCTTCAAAGCACCCGGACCGGATGGAATTCATGTTTTTTTTTACCAAAAATACTGGCACATCATCAAAAATTCAATAGAGTCTTTCTATCATAAGGTTTTTGATACACAAACTCTGCCAAATGGTATAAATGAGACATTTATTTGTCTAATCCCAAAATTTTCCAATGCGAACAACCTAAATTTTTTTAGACCAATTGGTCTTTGAAATACCTCTTACAAAATCATTACGAAGATAATTGCAAACATGATAACTTTTTTTTACCCTGCCTCATTAGTCCTCTCCAATCTAGCTTCATTAAACATAGGAGAGCTAGTGACAATGCTATTATCGTTCAAGAACATATGAATAATCTTCGTAAACACAAAAAATCTATCCCTGATATGCTTATAAAAATTGACCTGGAAAAGGCATTTGATAGATTAGAATGATCATTTGTCTATAGAACTCTTAGATTCTTCAATTTCCCTCCAAAAATCAGTAATTTAATTATGCACTGCATTACTACCAGCTCTATGGGAATCCTGGTTAACGGAACAACTACTGAATTTTTTAGTCCTAGTAGAGGTATCTGCCAAGGAGACCCCTTATCACCCTACATATTCATCCTTTGCATAAAATTGCTCTCAAAACTCATCAATTATCAAACAAACATTTTAAAGTTGGACCCAATAAAAATCTCTCAAAAAGGTCCTTCTTTTTCTCATGTTCTATTTGCGGATGATATCACCCTAATGGGTAAGGCAAACAAAAAAACTGAAAATTGCATAAAATCTAGTATGGATTTTTTCTGCTCTCAATCAGGCTTATCCATCAATTACACAAAGTCAAAAATCATCCTTCCAAAACTTTGTCCTCCTCACATTTCTTCTTACTTCTCAAACCTTCTTGGAATGAAGGTTACTCATGAATTTGGAAAATACCTACGATTCCCAATTCTAAATCATAGTCCAAAGCCAAGAGATTTCCAATTCATAATTGACAAACTTCATAGCAAAATGTCTCACTGGAAATGTTCCTTTCTAAATATGGCTGGTCGAACAACTCTCGCAGCTAACACTCTAAATACTATCCCCGCTTAATCCATGCAGTGCACTTATCTACCTAGCAAAATCCTAAAACAAATTGATAAGATACAAAGGGATTTCATTTGGGGGAGCACTAGCACCTCAAAAAAACTCCATTTAGTAAACTGGAATATTGTCACCAAGAGTAAGCAGGAAGGAGGCCTTGACATTCATAAAGCCTCCTCAAAGAATATTGCCTTACTAACAGGTCTTTCTTGGAGGCTTTTACAAAATTCAAACACCCCTTGGGCTCAACTCATCTCCTATAAATATGCCAACAAAAAATCAATCAACACTTCTTCTTTTATT